TGCTTTTGCTGAGATCTTGCCAACCACATGATGCGAAGAACAGGCTGTCTGGGAAACAGCAGCTGTCACCATGACAAATGGAAGAACATTCTGGAACACAAGGCTCTCTTCCGAAACGCATCGCCGATGCCATCGCTTTTCTCACCGCCGCTCCTTTGCCAGGAGCCCTGGCGTGTCCCAGCACCCTCTCCCCGGCTAATGAAGCGAGTCCAGGCTCCCTCTCCCTGGTGCAGCAACGCGGGGCTGGCCAGAGCCGCTGTCCCAGCTCGGCCTGGGTCCCGCAGGCCCGGGCTTGAGCTCCGACTCTGCAGGAGTCCCCTCCCTGAACTCCCAGACGTTGATGAAGAGCCTGGGGTCCTGGCTCACAGCCCAGGACAAGGTGCTGCTCTGTGTCTGCCCACTGGGACCAGGGGATGGGGAGAAGGAGGGACGGGCTGGGCGACAGAGCAGTCTGAGGGATACTTTTTTTTTTAACCTTTTAAAAAACATTTTATTTTTGATACCTAATAACTGTATGTATTTTTAAAAGATGTATTTTACTTATTTGAAAGGCAGAGTGAGAGAGAGGGAAAGGGAGACAGAAAAAGAGATCTTGCATCCACTGGTTCATTCTACCAAATGGCCACAATGGCTAGAGCAGGGCCAGGCCTAACCCAAGAGCCAGGAGCTTCGTCTGGGTCTCCCCCATGAGTGGCAGGGGCCCAGACACTTCTGCTGCCGTCCCAGGTGCATTAGCAGGGAGCTGGGTTGGAAGTGGAGCAGCTGGGACCCAAACCAGCGCTCACCCGGGATGTGATGTCGCTAGCCAGCAGCTTAACCTGCTGTGCCACAACGCCAGCCCCTTGCACCGCTTCTTGAGGCAAATGGCTGGGGTCTTTGTGCAAACACCAAATGCTCTGGCAGGTCTGAAGAACCTCTCTGTTGTTTCTTGCCTCATGCATGTTCCATGATCTTCTGCTGTTTCCGTTCTGGGTTCTGCTTTCTCCATCAGTGTCAACCCACCTGCTCTGGTTTTTGAAACTTTGTTTTTGAATAAGCCATACAACATTTACAAACTGAAATGCAAATTTAAAATATAAGAGGGGTGTATGGTGAAAAGCTCTCCCTCTCTAGAGGTAGCTACGTCCTGTTTCTACGTGTTTTAAGCAGATTCGATGATGTGTATGTATATGTTCTCGGTTTTCATAAATTGTAACATAATAAATATATGACTTCGTGCCATGCATTTTTTAAAAAAGATTTATTTATTTATTTGAAAGGCAGAATTATAGAAAGAGATCTTTCATTTGCTGGTTCACTCCCTAATTGGGTACAGTGGCCGAGGCGGCGCTGATCCGAAGCCAGGAGACAGGATCTTCTTCCAGGTCTCCCATATATAGGTGGCAGGAGCCCAAGTCCTTGGGCCATCTGACTGCCGCCTTCCCAGGCTCATCGGCAGGGAGCTAGATCAGAAGTGGAGCTCCGAGAACTTGAATTGGCACTCATACGGGATGTCGATGTTGCAGGTGGCAGCTTAACCCGCTGTGCCCACAATGCCAGCCCCTGTGCCACGCCTTTATGACTTAAGCAATGTATCTGGAAGCTCTCTCCACAGCAGCATCCCAAAGGGCTCTCTGGTTCTTGTGACCAAACACATCAGACCCCACAGCATGCATGAGCCCGCTGTGTTTAACCATCCCCTTGTTAGCCGGTCTTCGCTGCAAAGAATCGCTCTGTGCCTGCAGGTACATGCCTGCGTCAGCGTAGCCGAGTTTCTTTAGGGCACATCTCTCAAGGGCCGTCTACTGAATCGGGGGATACCTGCTTTACGCTTTCTGACAAGTACCACCCCTTTGCTCTGCAGGGGTTTTGATCAGTTTCCACGCCTATGTCTGCGTCCCGGTGTTCTCAGCCACGTGGAACGTTAGCACTTCTTCTTAGTGTCCCAGTTTCAGTGCACACTGATCACAGTGCGAGAGGCTAAGACGGCTGCTCCTGTGTCTGTGTTTCCACTCCTGCGAGTCTTCTCTTCATTTCCTTTGCCCCCCTCCCTTCTCCCCTGTGGAGCTGTTCGTCTCTTTCCTATTGACTAGTGGCGGCTCTGTGTTGACTCAGAACCTAATCAAAAGTGCTCTCATCCACGTGTATCTCACTTTCTTCAAAAAAAAAAAAATGTTTTTCGTATTTATTTGAGAGGCAGAGTTAGAGAGAAGGAGAGGCAGAGAGAGAGGTCTTCCATCTGCTGGTTCACTCCCCAGTTGGCCACAATGGCCAGAGCTGAGCCAATCCGAAGCCAGGAGCCAGGAGCTTCTTCTAGGTCTCCCATGTGGGTGCAGGGGCCCTAGGACTTGGGCCATCCTCCACTGCTTTCCCAGGCCACATCAGAGAGCTGGATAGGAAGTGGAGGAGCCTGGACTTTAACTGGTGCCCACATGGGATGCTGGCACTCCAGGCAGTGGCTTTACCCACTACGCTACAGCGCTGGCCCCCCAAGTGGCATCTTAACAGCTGTGCAAAATTCTCACCCTGAGAACTGATTTTGTTTTTTTTTTTGTTTGTTTTTTTGTTTTTGTTTTTTTTTTTTTTTTGACAGGCAGAGTGAACAGTGAGAGAGAGAGACAGAGAGAAAGGTCTTCCTTTTGCCGTTGGTTCACCCTCCAATGGCCACCGCTGCAGCCGGCGCACCGCGCTGATCCTGGCAGGAGCCAGGAGCCAGGTGCTTTTCCTGGTCTCCCATGGGGTGCAGGGCCCAAGCACCTGGGCCATCCTCCACTGCACTCCCTGGCCATAGCAGAGAGCTGGCCTGGAAGAGGGGCAACCGGGACAGAATCCGGCGCCCCAACCGGGACTAGAACCCGGTGTGCCGGCGCCGCTGAGAACTGATTTTGAATGCAGTTCTTTTGTAACATGATCTTTTTTTTTTTTTTTTTTTTGAGTCTTTTTTTTTTTTGACAGGCAGAGTGGACAGTGAGAGGGAGAGAGACAGAGAGAAAGGTCTTCCTTTGCCGTTGGTTCACCCTCCAATGGCTGCCGCGGCCGGCACACCGCGCTGATCCGATGGCAGGAGCCAGGTACTTCTCCTGGTCTCCCATGGGGTTCAGGGCCAAAGCACTTGGGCCATCCTCCACTGCCTTCCTGGGCCACAGCAGAGAGCTGGCCTGGAAGAAGAGCAACCGGGACAGAATCTGGCGCCCCAACCGGGACTAGAACCCCGTGTGCCGGCGCCGCAAAGCGGAGGATTAGCCTAGTGAGCCGCAGCGCTGGCCAGTAACATGATCTTGTCCTAAAGTTCCTTTGTCAGGGGTTCTTAAGGATAAACCCACCAGGGGAACAGGTGTCACAGCCCCAGGCAGCTCCCCCTCCTCACCAAGGTCCATTCATCCCAAATCTGAAAACTACAGGAACAAAGTTGAGATCGCCAAGTTTCATTTTAAAATGGATGGAGCCACACTTCTAATTTTACTCTAAAAGACACTTTCTTTTCCAGTAGCATTGCCATTGCTTTGGGATTTATAAAACTTTCAATTAACGGGACTCAATTAGTGTTGCTTTCAGAGCACTAAGAGGCACTCAGGCCTGTGATTCTCTGCAGGGGAAACTCTGCTGCAGGAGACGGAAGACGGAGGGAGGTGGTGCCGAGGGCACTTCATCAGTGCCAGGGCGCTCGCACCCCACGGACTTCGGGTCAAGGTCTTGATTTTGTTTTTTAAAGGGTTTTATTTAAATGCATTTCCCCCCTAAGAACTATTTTTCTTTTTAATTTTATTTAAGAGACAGAGAGAGAGAGAGAGAGCGCGCGCGCCACTGATTCACTCCCCAAATAGCTGTAACAGCTGGGGCTGGACCAAGCCAAGGCCAGGAGCCTGGAACTCCTTCTGGGTCTCTCATGTGGGTGCAGGGGCCCAAGCACTTGGGCCATCTTCCACTGCCTTCCTAGGTGCATTAGCAGGGAGCTGGATTGGAAGTGGAGCAATGGGGACTCCAACCAGTGCTCTGATATGGGAGCCAGTGCCACATATGGCAGCTTCACCTGCTGCGCCACATCGCAGTCTTTTAAATGTTTATTTGAAAAACACACTCGCAGGTAAAGCCAAAATCAATCCTATGAATGAAAACATGTACAATACGGAAAAAATGATAGCCCCCCGTAGGCTCCTTCCCCTCTCCGTCCCACCCCCACCCCTCTCCCATCCTCTCACCCAGGGGTAACCCTGGTCACCTGTGCCTTTTCCCAGTAACACAGGTGCAGATATCATTCACCTCTGCATGAGACAGGAACACAGAGCCCCAGGCACAGGCATCTCCCAGGAACCCTTCTCACGCCCATCAAGCATCAGGTGCGAGGGACCGGCCCTGTGGTGTAGCAGGTAAAGCCGCCACCTGCAGTGCCGGCATCCCATATGGGCACTGGTTCGAGTCCTGGCTGCTCCACTTCTGATCCGGTTCTCTGCTGTGGCCTGGGAAAGCAGTGGAAGATAAGTGCTGGTAGCAAAACCCCTCTTTCACTATCTGGGACTGCGTCCTGTTCCTCTTACTTCTGCCCACAATTCTTTCAGGCTTTCCTCAAAACATAGCCCACTGAACTGGCAAATGCAACAGGAGGCAGACTAGCTTGCCTTACTTGTAGATGTTTATTTATTCTCACCCACTTGAAAGGCACAGTAACAAAGAGCAAGAGAGAGAGAGAGAGAAATCTTCCATTCATCAATTCATTCCCCAAATGCCCCTAACAGCCAGGGCTGGGCCAGACTGAAGCCAAGAGCCCAGAGCTCCATTCAGGTCTCCCTTATGGGTAACAGGAACCCAAGCACTGGGCCATCACCAGCTGCCTTGCAGGACGCATTAGCAGGAAGCTGGATCAGGAGCAGAGTAGCTGAGACTCCAGCGGGCACCTGATATGCAATGTGGGTGACCCCAGTGGTTTAACAACACCCGCCCCAGTCTTCTTGTTTTAAATGAGGATAAATGAAGATTCAGTTTGAGCTATTTTTTTTGTAAATTATTTATTTGAAAAGCAAAGTGACAGGGAGAGAGAGACAGAGACAGCCCATTCAGTGGTTCACACTCCCCAAATGCCTGCAGTGGCTGGAGCCGGGCCAGGCAGGAGCCAGGAGCCAGGAGCCTCCATCCAGGTCTCCCATGTGGGTGTCAGGGACTCAGTTACTGGAGCCATCACCCCGTCTCCCAGGGTGCACACAGGCAGGCAGCTGGAATCAGGATGTGAGCTGGGACTCGAGCCCAGGCACTCTGCTATGGGATGTGGGTGTCGGGCAGATCTGCTAAATGCCTGCCCCTCTGCTACCTTTCTATGAGCAACTTTAGGTTCTTATAGCACCAGGAGCAAGACACGAGTCTGCAGGAACAGCCGGATTTCCAAATACGGACGTCCACGTTCGGTTCAGACTCCAAAGGCCTCTATTCCCAGCTGCGCCCCCAACCTCTCTTTAATTTCTCCTGTTCCTAGCTCTCCGCTTACTACGGGGTAGAGTCGAAGGTGCTTCTGGCAACGATGCGTTATTAGGAAGGGATGGCGCTGTTATTAGATTGCATTTATTATTTCTTTCAGCTCATCGTGCACCTGATATCGGAGGCTCTCCCTATGGGTCGTGATTGAGAGCTGCCGCCCAGGATGCGGTTTTATTATTTTCGCAGGTCCCTCTGCAGCAGGTCAGAAACCTGATGCAGCTCGGGCCAAAGGACGGGCTGGTGTCGCTTTGTTCGGCCTGGCAGAGCCTGGTGGCCCGGCCCCACCACGCCGCCTGCAGGTGCAGCTCCAGGAGCTCAGTAGGCTTTCAGCACAGCTACCCTCGCCTCTTCGCACAGCGGGTCGAGTTTACCGTCACCTCCTGGGGAAACAGACAATGTTCTCTGGCCAGCTTCACACACAGTTGGGTGATGAATTAGCGGCTTCCATGAGGAGTGCATTTTCAGAGGCCACCGGCGTGTAAAGTGTTAATGGGTCTTTAGCGGAGTCGGGGGGGGGGGGGGGAGGGGGGACACAGAAAAAGCTCTTACTCCGAGCACAGCGAGCACAGCGAGGCTGCAGGGTGCCAGCCTGCCAGGCCAGAATCTCTCCAGGGGTGAAACACTCCTAGAATGGAGCTGAGAATGCCACGCGCTGCGGGCATAATTGTCTTTGCAGGTGGAGACAGGATAATCAAACGGAACACAAAATAACTTTGGGAGCAGATAATTAAATCACACATTATTCAAACACTAAGCCCTTCATCCTGCTCTCCTTAAATCCCATCCTATCATTTCAAGTCCAGGGCCCCACTTCCTTCCCTTTCTGCTCGTGTTCCCGCGGGTCTGGCATTTCACCGCGTGTGGTGTAGGGGGCCCTCCTGTCTGTGCCGCTGACTGAGTATGGGGCTTTGGGTGTGCACTCAAAGTCGCGGAGGAAACCCAGTTGGAATCCAGATCCCACTCAGCCACCATTTCAGCTGGACACCGGGGGACTGGTTCCGGCGGGGCTTACTTACCAAATTCCAGGTCCTTAATGTTACAGTGGAAGACAACCTCCCCGTTCACCACCAGCTCCACCACGTCCCAGTCTTCTATCTTCTCCAGGACGACCTCATGCCCATCCTTCTTCAACACAGCTGCAAAACAGGGAGGGCGGTGGGTGGGGCGGGGTTGGGGGTGGGGGAGGGCGGGCGCCGACTCCAGCTCAGCCTGATGGGTCAAGTCCGCTCCGATGTCAGCAGCTGGCTGCTCTCCAGTTGCTCAGGGCTGTAACGTAGCTGCTGTGGCTGGCCCTTCGCCCTGGACGGTCCTCGTGAGCCCTCACCTCTGCTGGACGCACAGGCGGAAGCCTGGGCAATGCAGGGGTGGCTACAGATTGGCCCCAGCCCCAGCTGATCTGTTTCACAAGGAGCTTCCTGCAGGAAAGGGTGCCCAGGGTTCCCGAGGGTTAGTCCCAGAGACGGTTCTCAGTGATGGAGGAGGCTGGCGGGGAGGGAGGGGGCTGGGCAACCTCTGACCTCACTGGTGGCAATACCCGTCCGTCGATTTTTGGCAAAGTACTTAGCCAGTGCGAACCAAAAGTCTCCAAAAATGATGCCAACCTTTGACCCAGGAGATTGCAATGCAAAGAACACTTTCTGAGGAAACAAAAAAAATCAAATCTGCTGGTTTTTGTGACAATATATCCTTTTTGTATTATTATAATAGCAAAATACTGTGACTGATTTACACGTCCAATAATAAAAGGATGGCCAAGTTCGTAAAATTTTATTCAGAAACTTTTAATTTTCTTTTTTTTTTTTTTTTTTTTTTTTTTTTTTTTTTTTTTTTTTTGACAGGCAGAGTGGACAGTGAGAGAGAGAGACAGAGAGAGAAAGGTCTTCCTTTGCCGCTGGTTCACCCTCCAATGGCCGCCGCTGCAGCCGGCGCACCGCGCTGATCCTGGCAGGAGCCAGGAGCCAGGTGCTTTTCCTGGTCTCCCATGGGGTGCAGGGCCCAAGCACCTGGGCCATCCTCCACTGCACTCCCTGGCCACAGCAGAGGGCTGGCCTGGAAGAGGGGCAACCGGGACAGAATCCGGCGCCCCAACCGGGACTAGAACCCGGTGTGCCGGCGCCGCAAGGTGGGGGATTAGCCTATTGAGCCACGGCGCCGGCTAGAAACTTTTAAAAAGAGTATGAATCTTTATTTTATTCATTTTCGTTTTATGTGGAAGGCAGAGAGACAGAGAAAGACCTTCCATCTAACTGGTTCAGTTCCCAAACGCTTGCAACAGTCAGGGCCGGGCCAGACCAGTCAGGAGTCTGGGAACTCAGTCTGGGTTTCCCCCGCAGCTGGCAGGACCCAAGCGCCTGAGCGGGCATCCGCCGCCTCCCAGAATGCGCAGTAGCAGAAAGCTGCGGACCCGAAGTGGAGTAGCTGGGACTTGAACCAGGCACTCTGCTGTGGGCTGTGGATACCCCACAGGAGTGTCTTAAGCATTGTGCCAAATACTGGCTTCTTTGAACTTTATTTATTTGTTATTATTTAAAATATTTATTTATTTGTTGGAAAGTCAAGAGTTACAGAAAGAGGGAGAGAGAGAGAGAGAGAGAGAAACTTCCGTCCTCTGGTTTGCTCTCCAGATGGCTGCAATGGCCAGGGCTGGGCCAGGCCAAAGCCAGGAGCTTCTTCCAGATCTACAACATGGATACATGGGTCTAAGCACTTGGGCCATCTTCCACTGCTTTCCTAGGCCATAGCAAAGCTGGATCAGAAGAGGAGCAGCCAGGACTCGAACCGGTATCCATATGGGATGGCGGTGCCGCAGGCAGAGGCTTAGCCCACTGCCACAGCGCCGGACCCAGCAGCCATTTTTTCAGCATACTCCGTCTCTGAAGATGTTGGTAAGCAATCATGCTCTAAAAGCAGTCATCGGGGCTGGCGTCGGAGCCATCTGTGATGTTGGTATCCCATACCAGAGTGCTAGTTTGAGTCCCACCACTCCACTTCGGATCCCGCTCCCTGCTAATATGCCTGGGAGAGCAGCAGAAGATGGCCCAAGTGCTTGGAACCTGGATGGAGTTCCTGGCTCCCGAGTGTGGCCTGGCGCAGTCCCGGCTGTTGTGGCTATTTGGGGAGTGAACCAGAGGATGGAAAATCTCTCTCTCTGTGTCACTCTCTCTGTCACTCCGCCTTTCAAAGAAATAAAGTAAAACATAGAAGCAGTCACCTCTAACCTGTGAGAACTCTGGCAGCCTTTTGGGGCCATACCAGTGTCTGCTCACTAAGCAATGATGAAGGAAAATCACTGCTCTGGGATACACACGTTCTGCTTCGGAACGCTTCTCACAACTCCTTACAAGTGGCCGGGCACGTCTACGGCCATACCACCCTGAACGCGCCCGATCTCCTCTGATCTTGGAAGCTAAGCAGGGTCGGGCCTGGTTAGTAACTGGATGGGAGACAAGTGGCCGGGCGCGTGTCCCCAGCCTCAGGTGGCTTGCACGTGCCCTGATTAAACCCCAGAGGCACCTTTTTACAGAGCCCGAGAGTTTCCATCAACAGCCAGAACTGGGAAAAATAAGTCAGAAGGGGGGGGGCATGCTTTTTTTTTTTTTAAATGAGCATTTCAATCAGTCTTCCGTGGAGAAAGGCAGACAAGTGATGTCAGCTAATTGCACCTAATTACAGAGACAATCGCTGCTGCAAGGCGCTGGCGTGTCCACTTCTTCATTCTTCAGTCGGATCGGGCGCATCAGCCCCAACTGAGAGCATTTTAATGGTGTGATTCTCATTTCACTTCTGGAAGGAAGCTTCAGAGAGACCCCATCAGGCGGACAGCGGTGTGCGGGCCCCCGGGGAGGGCCTCGCAGCCCATGCCTCCCTCTGCACTCTAGAGAACGCCTTCAGCTTTTTCGGTGGTTATTTATGCTATTGAATTAAGTGTCTTGAATGTCTCTGGGGAAGGCAGTCCTCTGGGACAATGGCTTGATCCACTCTAAGGAGGCAGAAGGCGCTCTATCACAGAGGTGTGGGGGCTCACACGCTCCCCGCCCGCCCCCAGCAACGCTCTCTCAGGGTGCAGGGCAGTAGCCAGTGCAGGGAGGCACACCCTGGCCCCAGGGCTGTGGTCTTTAAGATATTCCTGGTGATGGACTTCAATCTGATAGCATGAAAGCAGGGACAAAGCAGCTTCTCCATGCCTATCGCACACTCCCGCCTTGGGGGCCAGGCGCCACCGCCACTCCCCTGGGGACACCCAGTGCCAACTCTTGAAGGTCCCAGGGGAACATTCTGGAGGGAATGAGGGCATAGGGACTTCCCCTGGTGGTGAGCAAGGCCCTGCAGAACCCCGGGAGGCAAGCGCGTGCAGCCTGCCTGTCTGACCAAGCCACGCGTGGAATCTAGGCTTGGAGTGGGTTTTATGAGGACACTGTCACTCCTGAAAAAATTTTGTTTTAATTTATTGGAGAGGTAGGCACAGAAAGTGAGACACACACACACACACACAGAGAGAGAGAGAGAGAGAGAGAGAGAGAGCGAACGCATCTGCTAGCTCATTCCCCAAATGCCTGCCAATGGGCTGAAGCTTGAAGCCAAGGATGCCACGCAGGTTTCCCACATGGGTGGCAGGGACCCAACCGCTCTGAGCCACTGCCTGCCGCCTCCCAGGGTGCATGTGAGCAGGAAGCTGGAGTCAGGACCTGCACTCAGGGACCCAACCCAGGCACCATGACGTGGGACGCGGGCATCTTCACCACCTGCCCCGGGACAGCGTTAAAGGACACAGATTTGACGGCTGGTGTTTGTGGTGCAGAGGGGGTAAGCTGCCGTTTCGTTGCCGGCACCCCATATCAGAACCCTGATTCAAGGCCTGGCTGCTCCACTTCCCATCCAGCTTCCAGATAATGAGCCTGGGAAAGCAGCAGAAGATGGCCAAAGTGCTTAGACCCCTGCCTACATGGGAGACCCGGATGGCGTTCCAGGCTCCTGGCTTTGGTTTGACCCAGCTCCGTCTATTGCGGCCATTTGGAGAATTGAACCAGCAGATGGAAGATCTCCTTCTGTCTCTCTGTCTCTCTCTCCATCTCCCTGCCACTCTGCCTTTCAAATAAATAATCTTTAAAACTAAATTCAAAAAATATAACCAGGATTTGACCCACCAATCCTATGGTGTTGGGGTGCTCCAGTTTGCATGCAAGCAAGTGCAGCCCAATGGGGGAATTCTGTTACAAGGCCACCCTTCCCCATTCTGCCTTCTAGAGGGTCACCAGGCATGTGGTCCTCACTGCCACCAATCCCACCAGGTCCCTGGCGCTTACGCGGGCTCACTGACTAAACAAACTCAGAATGTGCTGGGCGCCACTGTGCACACTGCCGGGCCTCGGGTCTGACGTTTATTAAAGGAGAAAACCAACTCCAAAGCCTGCAAGGATCCTCAGCCTCCGGACATCCAGGCCCTGCCCTTCCGTGGCCGCTGCTAGCTCCAGGGAGCGGACCCTGGGAGGTCCCGGAACTCCTGCCGCTCCTCCAAATGCCACCCCTCTCCGTGGAGGGCCCATTTGTCCCTGGGAGCTGCTGCGGCGTTGTCTAGTCAAAGAAAGGTCAGGCAGATCTCCTTCCTGAGACAGAGTCTGTGCAAAGGCAGGGTTGGGCTCCAGCATCAGTCAGCCAGGAGCTGGAAGGCCACCCGCGGAACGCCTGCCTCTTTGAAGCGGCACCTCATTCTTCAAGGGGGATCTGGCTAAACCAAGGACACAGGGAATGCCCCTGCCTGTCGGTGTGGGCCGAGCCGCGGGCCGTCTGCGAGTGACTGAAGTGCTGCGGGGTGGACGGCCAGACCCCCGTCCCTCGTCCACCCAGCACGGACTGTTACCAAGTACAACTTGCATGGCCTGGGGTGGAGGGTGGTGCACTGGGTGGATTCTGCATTTTCTTTTTTTTTTTTTCTTTCTTTTTTTTTCTTTTTCTTTTTTTTCTTTTTTTTTTGACAGGCAGAGTGGACAGTGAGAGAGAGAGACAGAGAGAAAGGTCTTCCTTTTGCCGTTGGTTCACCCTCCAATGGCCGCCTTGGCCGGCGCGCTGTGGCCAGCGCACTGCGCTGATCCGTTGGCAGGAGCCAGGTACTTACCGGGTTCTAGTCCCGGTTGGGGCG